CTCAAGTGAGGAGTTTTTCAGGGAAAAAATTTTAGAGAAATTAGACGCAGGCCAAGAATATTTCAAATTTTTGTGAAAGAAGCGCCTATTTTCTCGCAAGACGACTATTCCTCACCGAATGAGACCATACATGGTGTCCACGAAGCCCTTGATACAGTACGAACTTTAATAACTCAAAAAGTATGATAGATACGACAATCTAGTTTTTTTTTGCATCTGATAGAACACCTCAGAGAGTTTGTTTAACACATTCTTGCAACCAAGAATCGTCTTCCAACAAGATGGTGCTTCACCCTATTGGACACTGGTAGTGAAAGAATTCCTGGACCGCAAGTTGGATCGTTGGATTATTCGTGATGGACCGACACAGTGGCCACCACGGTCACCCGATATCACACCCTTCGACTTTTTCTTGTGGAGTTTTGTAAAAGACAAGGTGTTCTCCACTCCTGTTCGTGATCTTGACAGTCTTCGTGGCAGAGCTGAGGATGCTATTGCCAGCGTGACTCCAGACATGCTCCAGTGCACCTGGCAAGAAGTGGAGCATCGTTTGGACATTCTGCGTGTCAGTAATGGTGCACACGTCGAAGTTGTGCGTTAACTGGTAGAAATTCTTTCGGATTAAAAAAAGGATTGTCTTATGTATCATACTTTTCAGGCATTAAAGTTTTTAATGTATCAAGGATTTCTTGCATACCCTTTATTTCATCCTGTTTCGCAAGCTCATGGTGTACAGAGAGTGTCTGTCTCCCAATTAAAAAAAAACTTAATTTAAAGAGGAGTTGCATGACGAAAAGAACTGCGGCCGTTGCGACCTAAACCGTCAGATCGACATTTGAAGTTGATGCGTTCGCGCAGAGTGGGTTTCTAAAGTGTCCTGGACGCATTTCATTGTTAGATCTACCGTTCTCAAGTGTGCTTATTCTTCCATTATACGTGCCATTGGAAATTTGAAAGATTCTTAACATCTCGGCGTTTACGTGTCTTCAGCTATGTGAGCTGATTCATAGCATCATCATAATCTTCTGTTCAACTTGTCTACTTTGAAAGTATGCCATCGCGTAAATCTATTGTATGATTTGGTACAAGGGAGTATCCAAATCATGTTACCTTGCTGCATGACTATTTGACTTTTCCTCGTTTTGAGGAATATAGGAGGCATCCCTAATAAAACATCCTCTTCCCTGGGGAATTTCCACCAGGTACCCATCTGCCACCCATCAACCAGGTTCGAACTCCATTTCCTTCCTCCCTGCCATCCACTCTCCGCTCAGATGCATGTGGATGCAGGCTTACGTTTTAAATGGAATCACAAGTCCTTCCAAAGTATGGGAAAGCATTCCTTATTCCATGCCCTTCATGAAAAGTAATGATAGAGGGGGAACAATTTTTCTTTCCGGAATGAATACACCTTCTTCGAGAAGTTATTAAATAAGAATAAGCTGCAACCATAGAAACCCATATCGACAACAGATCGACAACTAAAGTAAAGTCGTATGCGCAGTGTGTGCCTAAGAGAGGTGTACGGCGGATTTCGGAAAAAAACCCACCATTCTCAGGTGCGCCCATCCTCAATACCTGAATATTCGAAACGTTCTCGATCGAGAAAATGAGCACTTCTGTCATCCTATTCCTCCTCGTGCAAGAAGCCGTCTTGGGGAAGTTTGTGCACTTGGCTGGAAATTACATGGGGAAAAATCCAGTCAAGGAATTCCATGAGAAGAAACCGTGCCGATGTGAACACTTCTGCACAATGTAATGTCGTTGATTATGTGCTATCATGTTACTACCTAAAGAAAATAGTATAATATATACTCGTATGCTTTGTTGTTTTTCCTAGGGAAAAATGGTGCAACACGTATGCCCTGAAGAAGGTCGAAGATGGCTTCATTTGCCAGCTGCTTTCGGAAAATTCTACAATTGTTGAAGATCCCGAAAGAAAATACAGAATCGCTCATTCAGGTAAAGTGCATTGGAATTCGCGTGAAAGGTGAAAAAGATACATTTTAGTGAATATGCACTATTGGCATTGGTGGGTATCGCGATTGTTACTCTTACTTATAGAGACTGAGAAAGGCATGTAATGTTGCACCTCTCTGAATGAACATAGCAAAAAATGTACAAATAGTAGCGTAGAAGAAATGAGACAGGATGTCTATACGAGGTATGATATATTTTGAATATCCCCAGACAGCCTCTGTACAAGGTAAAATCTTTCCCCAAGGTAGGTGTTATCCTCTAAATGAAAAGATGTCAATGGTGACGGTTACGATCTGGTTTCCTCGTATATGCGACCATGAAGCTAGTAATCATTACTTGCTAATTCGAAAAATGTTCCAATCCCTAACGTAGGTTTATCATTCAATTTCGTCGAATTGAAGGAAAATGACAGCATTCCTAATTTTTAGGAACTGTTCCCCCCAAAAATTCTGTCCTAACGAAGTCCGACCTTTATTCAAGTTGATGCTGAGTTCGACACTAGTGTGAACGAAAGCGTCATTCTAGTGTCGAACATAATAAAAGTAAAGGTCTTTCTGGGATCTGAATTCCAGGAAGGTATGATGGACTTGATACGTTCTTAAGCTTGTAATGCTGGCAGTACTGAATAATAGCTTCAGGGAAGCCCCGCTTAACAATGGCGTTTTCCCAGAAAAGTTTCCAGAAAAGTTAGGGATATAAATTATGGATTAATGAAATTATGAAGCAAAAATGCCGACTCCTCAACAAAAAAGTTCACGAAATAAATAAAAAGAATAAGTGAAGAACTTGGAGATGAGGATAAGCAATCGTTGTTGAAGCGAGTGTTCGCGTCGATGCTGTGGCCAGAGATGACGAATTTTTTAAGACTTCAAGAACTATACAATAGTTTACGCAACAAGAATGGCAGAGATATAGTGTCAACAAGCTAGGAGCGTCTATATCCAAGATGTTTCATTTCTTCCCTGCAGAAACAATCGCTCTAAAAGAATTCGAATTTGCGATGGTCACGGGGAAAATTCATTTTCTGAGAGCGATGGGGGAAGGACAATACATGAAAGCAAAGAGTACTTGCAAAGGCGAAGGTTTGGCTCACCTCGTCATGGACGATCGAGGTCAAGAGTGGCACGATTACGTCCTTGAATTCATGGAGTCGCATTTCCCATCTCAAAGCAAGTTTTGGATCGGAGCTGACGACATGAATTGGGATGACCAGTTTTCTTGGGTTGATGGTGAGGAAGATTCATATTAGGATCATGAATGGACATTGACCTTGAACTTTTGGCTTCATTGGTGTCAAAAAGAGGAGATCAAAGTTTTACCTAATGTGGATATAGTTTACCTACCGCTAGTATGATGAATCCTAGGGAAAATTCTATTCTCAGAATAAATGATGGCGCGTACGAAGGATATTAAGTTGTCTCACCAATGTTTACGCGGTCATATCCCATTGGAATAGAGGACATGGTGAATATTTCATGCACGCTGACCTCACGCGCTTTTGGATTTTTTTTAACGCAGGGACTTTGGGGCTGATTCAATGAAGACTTTCTGGCTTCCGGGCGAACCGAATTTCAAGAATGGAACCCAGAAGGCGAGATGCGTCGCGATCGTGAAGTCTCACAGGGGGAAATGGGAGAATATTGTCTGTTTGTCAAAACTGCCTATCATTTGCGAAATTCGTCTCCCCTAACTCATTCTCTAGAAACCCGTGATGGATGCCTAATCAAAAATGTTTGAGCCATCACTGGCATATGGGTACCTTAATGTTCGTTGTTTTTTTTCCTGTCTCATTCCAGGGCTGTGTTACATGTTCTGAGAAATGTTTTATGGAATTCCACAGAGGTCTATAGGAGAAACCAAAAGAAAACTGTGTCAAATATGCAGGGGTCTCATTTCAGTAGAATCCTGCAAGTCACTCACTACAACGATCACCTTGACTTCATCTCTTCTGGTTTTTGGAACCTTCTCAGCCACATTGGCTCATCTTCGGGAATGATTTGCCTGCCAACTGTGAGTTGGTCGACGAAATCATTCGCTGAATATGAGCCAACTTTCCGATGTATGGCCCAACGAAAAGCCAATTTCCCCATTTATAACTCAAAGATAAATCAAATAAAATTTTATGACTGGGTGTGAAAGTAGTTCTTTTTTTTTTGGGGGGGGGGGGGGGGGGTTTTTTTTGGGAA